CTTTCAAGGATCGCTCTGCAGACAGAATAGAAAGTGAAACTGGGAGAATCGAGATGTTATTATTAACTCCGAGGCTTTCAAATTCAGAATTTGCATTCATTTAACTCATAGAATCATAGAGTTGGAAGGGATCTCATGGGCCATCCAGTCCAACCCCTTGCCAGGAAGCAGGAATATTGCATTCAAATCACCCCTGACAGATAGCTATCCAGCCTCTGTTTAAAAGCTTCCAAAGAAGGAGCCTCCACCACACTCCAGGGCAGAGAGTTCCACTGCTGAATAGCTCTCACAGTTAGGAAGTTTTTCCTCATGTTCAGAAGGAATCTCCTTTCTTGTCGTTTGAAGCCATTGCTCCACATCCTAGTCTCCAGGGAAGCAGAAAACAAGCTTGCTCCCTTGTCCCTGTGACTTCCTCTCACATATTTATACATGGCTATCATATCTCCTCTCTGCCTTCTCTTCTTCAGGCTAAACATGCCCGGCTTTTTAAGCTGCTCTTCATAGGGCTTGTTCTCCAGACCCTTGATCATTTTAGTTGCCCTCCTCTGGACACATTCTAGCTTGTCAATATCTCTCTTCAATTGTGGTGCCCAGAATTGGATACATTATTCCAGGTGTGATCTAACCAAGGCAGAATAGAGGGGTAGCATGACTTCCCTAGAACTAGACACTATGCTCCTATTGATGCAGGCCAAAATCCCATTGGCTTTTTTTTTGCCACCACATCACATTGTTGGCTCATGTTTAACTTCTTGTCTACGAGGACTCCAAGATCTTTTTCACACGTACAGCTCTCGAGCCAGGCATCCCCCATTCTGTATCTTTGCATTTCGTTTTTCCTGCCAAAGTGGAGTATCTTGCATTTGTCACTGTTGAACTTCATTTTGTAGTTTTGGCCCATCTCTCTAATCTGTCAAGATTGTTTTGAATTCTGCTCTTGTCCTCTGGAGTATTGGCTATCCCTCCCAATTTAGTGTCGTCTGCAAACTTGATGATCATGCCTTCTAGCCCTTCATCTATGTCATTAATAAAGATGTTGAACAGGACCGGGCCCAGGAAGGAGCCCTGCTTGTGGCACTCCGCTCATCACTTCTTTCCAGGATGAAGAGGAAACATTGGTGAGCACCCCCTGGGTTCGTCCATTTAACCAATTACTGATCCACCTCACCGTAGTTTTGCCTAGCCCACATTGGACTAGTTTCCTTGCCAGAAGGTCATGGGGGACCTTGTCGAAGGCCTTGCTGAAGTCCAAGTACGCTACATCCACGGCATTCCCCACATCTACCCAGCTTGTAACTCTATCGAAAAAAGAGATCAGATTAGTCTGGCCTGACTTATTTTTGATAAATCAATGTTGACTATTAGCGATGACCGCGTTTGTTTCCAAGCGTTTGCAGTCCACTTCCATGACAATCTTTTCCAGAATCTTTCCTGGTATCGATGTGAGGCTGGCCGGATGGTAATTGTTTGGGTCATCCTTTTTCCCTTCTTGAAGATTGGGACCACATTGGCCCTCCTCCAAACTGCTGGAACTTCTTTCGTTCTCCAAGAACTCTCAAAGATGATTGCCAATGGTTCCGAAATAACTTCCGCTAGTTCCTTCAATACTCTTGGGTGCAGTTGATCTCATTGGGGACTTGAACTCATTTAGAGCGGCCAGGTATTCCTGGACTACTTGTTTCCCAATTTGGGGTTGGATGTCCTCTAATCCCTTATGCACTCCATCTTGCTGAGGTGACTTTCTTTTTGTGAGAAGACCGAGGCAAAGAAGGCATTAAGTAGTTCTGCCTTTTCCCTACCCCCTGTCAGCATTGCTCCATCTTCTCCTCGAAGAGGCCCTATCGCCTCCTTGTTCTTCCTTTTTCTACTGACATAAGAATAGAAGCCCTTTTTATTGTTTTTAATGTCCCTGGCAAGCCTGAGCTCATTTTGTGCTTTAGCCTTGCGGACCTTTTCCCTACAAGAGTTGGCTATTTGTTTGAATTCTTCTTTGGTGATTTCTCCCTTTTTTCAGTTCTTGTGCATGTCTCTTTTGTGTCTCAGCACAGTTAGAAGTTCTTTGGACATCCATTCTGGCTTCTTTGCACTTGTCCTATTTTTTCTCTTTGTTGGCACTGTTTGCAATTGCGCCTTGAGTATTTCACTCTTGAAAAACTCCCATCCATCCGTAACTCCCTTGTCTTTTAGTATCTGTGTCCATGGAATGCTGCTCAGTATTTCCTTCATTTTTCGGAAATCAGCTCTCCTAAAGTCCAAAATGCGGGTTTGACTTGTCTTAGTTTCGGCCTTCCTTTGTACCTCAAATTGCAGGAGCACATGGTCACTTGCCCCTAAGGATCCTACCACTTCGACCGCATCGATCAGGTCCTCCGCATTTGTTAGGATGAGATCAAGAGTAGCCAATCCCCTTGTTGCCTCTTCTACTTCTGGACCATGAAATTGTCTGCAAGGCAAGCAAGGAATTTGTTGGACTTTGTACTCTTGGCTGAGTTTGTTTTCCAGCAAATATCGGGATAGTTGAAATCACCCATGACTACTACATCTCTTCTCTGTGCCTGTTTGGTCAACTGTTGGCAGAAGACTTCATCAAGTTCTTCCTCCTGGCTTGGAGGTCTGTAGTAGATGCCTACAACGACATCTTTTTGAGTCCCAGTTCCCTTGATTCTTATCCAGATGCTTTCAAGCTGGTTTCCCGGATTGCTGTCTTGCATCTCTTCTGCAGCATAACAGTTTTTGACATATAAGGCTACTCCGCCTCCTCTCCCCTTTGTTCGGTTTCTGTGAAAGAGGTTATAGCCCTCGATGTCTACATTCCAGTGATAGGAGTCATCCCACCAGGTTTCAGTGATGCCTATGACATCATATTTGTGGTGTTGTGCTAAAAGTTGGAGTTTGTCTTGTTTATTTCCCATGCTCTGTGCATTAGTGTAAAGACATGTGAGCCCCTGAGATCTTCCCCTGAGCTGTTTATTTGGGATTATTGTGCTTTCGGTACTTGGTCCTCGTTGTGTTTGTGCAGCCCTCCGTTTAGCCTTCTGGCGGTTCCCTGACATTGTGGGTAAAGTACTGTTCGCAAGGCTGTTGTCCCCCTCCCCTGGTGGACCTAGTTTAAAGTGTCACCTAATGAGGTTTGTGAGTCTGTGAGCAAAAAGGTGTTTTCCTACTTGTGTGAGATGCACCCCATCCCTTGCCAGTAGGCCATCCTCCTGGAAAAGCAGGCCATGGTCGAGGAAGCCAAAGTGTTCCTCCTGACACCATTTTCTAAGCCAGTTATTGACCTGTACTATTTTTCTGGCCCTTGTAGGACCGTGTCTTACAACTGGGAGGAGGGATGAAAAGACCACCTGTACATTACATTGTTTTAGCTTTGTTCCGAGAGCTCGAAAATCATTTATGATCTTTTGAAAAGTATGCCTAGCAGTATCATTGGTTCCTACATGAATCAACATGAGGGGAGGACGGTGATGGGGCTTGAGGAGCCTGGTGAGCCTCTGAGTGATATGGTGTATTTTTGCCCCTGGTAGGCAGCATATTTCTCGAGCCATCCCATCTGGTCTGGAAATGACGGCTTCCGTTCCTCTAAGGAGGGAGTCGCCTACTACCAAGACCTGTTTACTTTCAGGATTGACAGGGTCCCTTTTGTGCAATGTAGTGTGTAGGTCCCCAGAAAAGTGATCCTGTTGATGTGAATTGTGTAGGTGTAAAGTGTTGTCCTCCTCCTCGACATCCCCGGTGCATTTGTCAAGGACAATCCATTGAGATTCGTCCAAGAGCCTATGGTTCTCCTGTATGTGTTCCTGTTGCACCTGGTCTATGGTTGGGGATGGTACACCTGCATGATTGTGTAAGTGTGAATGTTGTGAAGTGTTGTCCCAGTCAGGGCTATCCCCCGCACACTGATCAAGGACGAGCCACTGATCAGTATCTAAGCCATTCTGGTCTTCCCCAATATGTTGTGTTTCTTGGTCAGGTGTTAGTTGTGTGAGAATTTGGAATCTATTGTGTAACTGCAGCTGAGCAGAAGTATTCTGAGGAGGCTTCCGGGTCCTATGTCTCTTTCTAAGGGTGACATTCCTCCAAGCCTGAGGGTTGTCCACATCTGAGGTGATCTCCTCTTGAGCCTCCCCATAATGTTGATGTGATATGGGCTGCGTGTCTAGGACAGCATGCTGTGTGGTGTCTAAGAACGGCTCGAGTTCCTGAATGCCCTTAAGGGTCTTAATAACGGTCCTCGAGTTGTTGGATCCTCTGTTCCATGTGAGTGATCTGTTTACACTTGGGGCAGATGTAATTGAGTAGCCCCCAGTGGCGCAGTGGGTTAAACCCCTGTGCCAGCAGGACTGAAGACCGACAGGTCGCAGGTTCGAATCCGGGGAGAGGGGATGAGCTCCCTCTATCAACTCCAGCTCCTCATGGGGGAACATGAGAGAAGCCTCCCACAAGGTGATAAAAACATCAAAACATCCTGAGTTCCTTAATATCCGTAAGGATCTTAATACTGTCCTCAAATTGTTGGATCCTCTGTTCCATGTGAGTGATCTGTTTACACTTGGGGCAGATGTAATTGAGTAATTGTTGCATGAAAAAGCTGAACATGCCACAGCTTGTGCATGAGACAGGAAGATTTTGTGTTTGTTCCATCTGCAGGCTGCTAATTACCTCCCTTTCAGATGTGTGTTTTATGTTGTTGTCTGTATGCAGGGGTGAAAGTATGAGCTCAGGCCCTGGCTTATATAGGTTAAACAGGGAGATAAGTGGGGACCTGAGAGAAGCCTCCCACAGGGTGGTAACACATCCCTGGGCAACGTCCTTGAAGACGGCCTATTCTCTCACCCTAGAAGCCACCCGCAGTTTCTCCACTCGCTCCTGACACGAGGAAAACAAAACTTCGGACACGTCGGGGGGGGGGGGGGGGGGGGGGAGGGGCCAGAGGGAGGGGGGGGGGTGAGTGAGTGAGTGAGTGAGTGAGTGAGTGAGAGTGTGTGAGAGAAAGAGAGAAAATGGAGTGCGCGGTGCGGGCTGCGTGGGTCGTGCTGGGCTTGTCCCTGGTGTGCTGGGGGCCGGGACCCTCGGGGGCTTCCGAGGCCGGAGAGGGTAAGGCGGCCCCCCTGCTTCCCCTTCCCCCCCTCCTTGACCCTTTGGTGCTCCCCCCCGCTCTCCTTGCCCCCCTCTTACCTTGAAAGCGCCTCTGCACCTGGAAAGGAAAGGGGGGGCGGACAGAGTTCGGGAGGGGCCCTGGGTCCTGCCTCAGGGGGATGGGTTGGAATGGGGGGGGGGGGTGCCTGTGGGGCGCGGAGGAAGGAAGGGGCGGGGCCCTTGCCAGGCCCTGCAGCCCTCCCTCCATGTCCCCCTCTTTCCAGACCACCCTGCTGTCAGAGACCCCCCTTTCTCCCCGAGAACCTGCTCTCTCGTCCCGTCCTCCTTCCTTCCTTCCTTCCTTCCTTCCTTCCTTCCTTCCTTCCTTCCTTCCTTCCTTCCTTCCTTCCTTCCTTCCTTCCTTCCTTCCATCTTTCCTTCTCTCTTTCCTTCCTTCCCTTTGTTCTGTTTTAATCACCACACAGTCTTCGTATTGCAGCTAAATTTAACATATTTTGACACTTTATTGTAAACCAGTGGTTAGCTGTTGTTAGGCATTTATTTATTTATTTATTTATTTATTTAGGATATTTGTAGCCCACCCTTCTCAACCCCCTGGGGGGGGGGATTCAGGGCAGCTTCCATCTGGCACATATTTGATGCCTACACATGAGATACAATAAAATACACATCAAAATCCATAATTATAACTAGTTAAAACATTAAATTAATACAATAAAGTGTATTTAAAAAGGGAGCCAGTCTACTGTCTGTCGTCCCATCGAGTTCTGTAATTGTAGTTTCCATTAAGTTTGTCCATAAACCATTTCCATAGCAATTGTCATCATTATCATCGTCAAGTCTGCGAGATTATCCAAAGGCCTGGTACCACATCCACGTTTTTAATTTCTTTGTAAAGGAGAGGAGGGATGAAGATGACCTAATTTCCCCAGGGTGCGAGTTTCACAGGCGGGGGGCCACCACCGAGATGGTCCTGTCCCTCGTCCCCACCAACCGTGTTTGTGACAGGGGCGGGGCCGAAAGCAGGGCCTCTCCAGAAGATCTTAAACTCCTAGGTGGAATGTAGAAGGAGATACGTTCAGACAGGCATCTTCAGGTCAACTTTGATTTTTCACAACCGTCTGATAGAGTTTTCTTGCAAAGATTTGTTAGAGGGGTTTTTCCATTGCCAATTCTTAGGACCCATTTACAGGCCATCTCAACATAGGGCTGGTCTGAAGTGTTGCTGCTTCCATGGAGGTATCTACATGCTCTGCCCCCAAACCATGGCAGCAGCAGGTATGGAGTCCAGGCTGCAGTCAGGCTGAATGGGCCAGCTGTCCACATGGGGCAGCAAGGTACTGGCCCATATGGACAGTTGGACCAGCTTCCTACAGCAACCCTGAAGTATAGACCTCCTCCAGAGTTTTGCTGAAACTTTGGAGCATTCCCCAATTTTTGTTAATGTGGGGTAAAATTGGGTGAACCAGTTTTACCCCATGCCAAGGTCTGAAAGTCCCTGAAAGTCATATGGATGTCCAGGAACAACTTCTGGATCAATTCAGGGTTTCTAACCTCTGGATGTTCAGGAGCAACTGCTCGTCCAATTCATATGGATGTCCAGCAGCAACTTCTTCTGGCCTGTGTAGATGCTCCCTCTGTCTGAGAATGTGATTTGTCCATGGCTACCTAGTTGATTTCCACAGCAGAGCACATCATCCAATTCTGGTCTCCTAGGGCCCTTCTAGACAAACTCTATGTCCCGAGATGTGATCCCAGGTTTTCTGTTTATCCCAGATTATCTGGCGGTGGGGACTCCTATAATCCAGTTTAACGCTGAAAACCTGAGATCAGATCCTGAGATATAGGGCCTGTCTGGAAGTGGTCCTAGACTCCTAGTCCAACACTAAAATGACTACCCACAGTGACTCTGTAAACTATTGCAAATTTGTTGTAGAAGGAGCAGGGAAACTGACACTGGGGTTAGGAGCTGGTTCAAGACAACAGAAAATCAATGTTACAGTCTGGACATGGCATTCACTGTCTCTAGAATGCACAATAATGCTTACTTCCGGGATGTGAAATACTTGGGTGAAGATTTACCATACTTTCATTCCAGGAGCTCCAAAGCATGTAGTTCTGAACCCAGTTCCAAAGATGGAGATTGGGAAGGAGTACATGTTTATATGCCAAGTTTCTGATGTGGCCCCCCTCAAGTACCTCACGGTGACCCTGTTCAAAGGAGGGAAAAAACTTCTGGTGAAGACATTTGAGGATTCGACTGCCACTGAAGCCCAAGATGTTGTCGTGCTCCATGTTGTCAGTGTGCAGAAGGAAGACCATGGGGAGGAAGTCACCTGCCAGGCTGTTCTAGATCTGAGACCAGACGGACCACTCTTTGAACTAGCCTCTCACACTGAATTGCTGGACCTTGTTGGTGAGTTTACACCAATGGACAGGGTCATGTATGGAAAATTGCAGCAATAGAGAAGGCTTGGGCTGCAGCACTATATAACTCTCATTGAGCCCAGAAGCGCTGATCTTTGGGTACTTCTTTACAAAGAGTAGGTCCTGTTTTTGTTATCTGGTGGGAGTACAGTCATCCCTTCACATTTGCTGGGGTTAGGGGCGCAAGTCACCCATGAAGATCCACACAAAACCCACTATTTTTTCTAACTGAGACCCCTTCTATGCAGCTGAATAAAATCCTACATTTTCTGCTTTGAACCAGAATATATGACAGTGTGGACACAGATAACCCACTTCAAAGCAGATATTGTGGGATTTTCTGCCTCGATATTCTGGGTTATATGACTGTGTGGAAGGGCCATGAGAGAACCCCTCTCTAGGAATCTCTAGGTATTCTAGCATTACTCTATGGCCAACGTTTGCTGAACACACTAGAGAGACTAGAGATCCCTAGTGAGGATTTTTTAATCAAAATAATAAATAATCACCTTCCCAACAATCAAACCCACAAATGTTTAAGACCAACTGCATTTATTTTATTCCTCACATTTGCATTTTTACATTCTTCCACTTGAGTCAAAGTTATATACATGGTGATATACATGGCTCTCCTCTTGCCTTCATCATCTCCACAGCATCCAGAGGGTGCTATCCAGCATTTAACACTGAAATGTGTAGCTTAATGGTCACTCAAAAATTGAATTTCATTAGCCACTGCTACAGTCAACAGTTAATAAAACACAATCTCTGATTTGTAATTGAAGGGGGTTCCTGTACTGATAACAAAATGTGTTATTAGTTCACTTCCACATAGTTTACATATTTTTAATTGTACTTTTTTATATCTTCCTGCAAACCAGAGGAGATAGTGACTGACCACCATTCTTATTTCATAGTTTCCTGTTTGGCAGGTGGGGATTCATCTCCTTAGGTTTACTTTTTTTAGGAAAAGGTTTTTCACATATTAAAATCTCAGGGTTCTTCCATTTCCTCATCTCTGTTTCTCACTGCTATTGTTTTGGCTTGCTTTCTATCAGCATTGGCAGTCAGAACCCGAGTTTGCTATGAAGAAGCAGTCATCTTTATTGTGGTGTTTTAAACATAATTGACACGGTTACTTTTGTTATCTTGGCAGATTTCCCCATGGATCCCCATCTCACAACCCCATTGATTGTAGAGACCGATACTGAGATAACTGTGACCTGTGATGTATCTGGAGTTTTTCCAGCCAAAGAGGTCAAGTTTGAGCTATCCTATGGAGGAAAGAGTCTGAGCCCTGAGGTCAGTGTATCAGGAGATAGTGCCAGTGCCCGGGGTCAAGTGTCCTTCTCATCAGAAGGAACTCACAGTTTGACTTGCACAGTCTCTCTGGGACCAGTGAAGAGAACAGTAGAGGGATCTGTGAATGTATACAGTAAGTATTGTGGCTATAATTGTCAATATTTATTTTATTTATTTATTTACCACATTTGTATACCACCTTTCTCAGCCAGAGGCGACTCAAGGCGGTTCACAGTCGGCAGCGATTTGATGCCATAACAAATATCAAAATACAGTTAAAACAATTATAAAAACAATTCAACATTTAAAATGTAATATAAAAAGCAAATATATCTGTAAAAACAAGATCCTTGGCATCTCCTTACTAAAATCGTTGTCCAGTTGCATCGTCAGTCATTCCATATAGAATCATAGAATCAAAGAGTTGGAAGAGACCTCATTATTAACCACTTTCCTACATGTTATCTATTTCTAGTATCATGTTGTAAACAAGTCATTTCATGCACATATTCCTGCTGGTGCATGCTGGACTTTTTGACAATGTGTGACACAATTGCCTGTCCACACTTGCTTATCAAGATCTGTTGGCAGACTTGACCACTGAACGGGCTACAGCTTGTATTTTGTGTGCCCTTTTGGAACATAACGTAATCACTGCAACTTTAATTCTGCTCCACAAAAGATGAAAGACTGTTCAAAATGTATTGTCGAAGGCTTTTATGACTGTGTTGTTGTGAGTTTTCTGGGCTGTATGGCCATGTTCCAGAATGAGATAATTATCATCATCATCATATTTAATTACTTATTAATCGCCCTCCATCCGAGAATGCTCTAGGCGATTTACAGCTAAATTGTAAAAGATAAAATACATACATACAAAAATTAAAAATTAACAGAGATTGAATGCTCTAGTAAAAAGCCAGGTCTTAAGTGCTAGAGTAAAAGGCCCTAAGTCACGCATGGCTCTCATATAGGGAGGCAAGGAATTCCATAAGGCAGGGGCAGAAATAGAAAAAGCCCTGCGTCTGGTCCTTTCCAAGTGCACTTCTCTAGGACCCGGTATATAGAGTAAGTCACGTTGGGATGGTCGTTGCGACCTCCGATGATGGGAGAAGGAGAGGCGGTCCCTAAGGTACGATGGACCCTGGCCGTAAAGAATTTTAAAGGTCAGAACTAACATCTTATACAGGCCACGGTACTCAGTTGGAAGCCAATGTAAATGTTGCAGCACTGGTGTTATATGGCATTTCATGGATGTTCTTGTGAGTAACCTGGCTGCCGCATTCTGAACAATATGGAGCTTTCGGGTCGTAGACATCGGAAGGCCAACATACAGGGCGTTGCAATAGTCCAGCCTAGACGTGACTGTGGCATGGATGACAGTTGCCAGAGAACTCACAACCCACTGTTCAAAATATTCTTCTTTCTTTATGTTTCTACCTCTCCCTGGTGCAATTGGAGGCAATGTCACCTACTTTGGGGAACACTGGTCTAGACCACTATTTCTTAAATTGTGGGTTTTGAGCCCATCTAAGCAAGCACTAATTGCACACTATCAAACCATCTAATGTATGATGTCTGTTCTTGTTTGTTCGCTTTCAGGTTTACCTGCGCCTGTCCTGCGCCTTGTCCCTTCAGAAGTTGCTGCTGGTTCCACAGTGATGGTCAACTGTACCTCTAATGGTCCCGTGTCCCCAGGGGTTGTCATGTGGCTTAGGGATAACAAAGAAACCTTACTTTCCAGAGACTCTGACAACCTTTTAGTGCTGCATGAACTGAAAACACATGAAGAGGATGATGGGAGGAAATTTGTGTGTGAAGTGCAGCGGATGGTTGATGGGCAGCGTGTTGTGAAACACATCACTAAAAGTCTCAGCGTCTTCTGTGAGTAGGCCACATTCAGAGTATTTTCTTTTATTTCTTGAGGTTCAGAATACTTCCTATTTAAAGACAACATGACAGTGTCATTACATTTGAATTCACTTGGATTACATTTGGATAATATAATATATTGGATATACATATAATATTGATAATATTATAATATAATACAATATAATAATAATAATAATTGTTGTTGTTGTTCATTCGTTCAGTCGTCTCCGACTCTTCGTGACCTCATGGACCAGCCCACGCCAGAGCTCCCTGTCGGCCGTTACCACCCCCAGCTCCCTCAAGGTCAGTCCAGTCACTTCAAGGATGCCATCCATCCATCTTGCCCTTGGTCGGCCCCTCTTCCTTTTGCCTTCCACTTTCCCCAGCATCAGTGTCTTCTCTAGGCTTTCCTGTCTCCTCATGATGTGGCCAAAGTACTTCACTTTGTCTCTAGTATCCTTCCCTCCAGTGAGCAGTCGGGCTTTATTTCCTGGAGGATGGACTGGTTGGATCTTCTCGCAGTCCAAGGCACTCTCAGAACTTTCCTCCAACACCACAGCTCAAAAGCATCGATCTTCCTTCGCTCAGCCTTCCCTAAGGTCCAGCTCTCACATCCGTAGGTTACTACAGGGAATACCATGGCTTTGACTAGGCGGATCTTTGTTGCCAGTCTGATGTCTCTACTCTTTACTATTTTATCGAGACTGGACATTGCTCTCCTCCCAAGAAGTAAGCGTCTTCTGATTTCCTGGCCACAGTCTGCATCTGCAGTAATCTTTGCGCCTAGAAATACAAAGTCTGTCACGGCATCCACGGTTTCTCCCTCTATTTTCCAGTTGTCAATCATTCTTGTTGCCATAATCTTGGTTTTTTTGACGTTTAGCTGCAACCCGGCTTTTGCACTTTCTTCTTTCACCTTGATTAGAAGGCTCCTCAGCTCCTCCTCGCTTTCGGCCATCAGAGTGGTGTCATCTGCATATCTGAGGTTGTTAATGTTTCTTCCAGCAATTTTCACCCCAGCCTTGCATTCCATCGCATGATGTGTTCTGCATACAAGTTGAATAGGTTGGGTGAGAGTATACAACCCTGCCGTACACCTTTCCCAATCTTGAACCAGTCTGTTTTTCCATGGTCAGTTCTTACTGTTGCTACTTGGTCCTTATACAGATTCCTCAGGAGAGAGACAAGGTGGCTTGGTATGCCCATACCACCAAGAACTTGCCACAATTTATTATGATCCACACAGTTAAAGGCTTTAGAATAGTCAATAAAACAGAAGTAGATGTTTTTCTGAAACTCCCTGCCTTTCTCCATTATCCAGCGGATATTGGCAATCTGGTCTCTCGTTCCTCTGCCTTTTCTAAACCCAGCTTGAACATCTGGTAACTCTCGCTCCATGTATTGCTGGAGTCTTCCTTGCAGGATCTTGAGCATTACCTTACTGGCATGAGAAATAAGGGCCACTGTACGGAAGTTTGAGCAGTCTTTCGCATTTCCCTTTTTTGGTATGGGGATATAAGTTGATTTTTTCCAGTCTGATGGCCATTCTTGTGTTTTCCATATTTGCTGGCATATGGCATGCATCACCTTGACAGCATCATCTTTTAAGATTTTAAACAGTTCAGCTGGGATCCCGTCGTCTCCTGCTGCCTTGTTGTTAGCAATGCTTCTTAAGGCCCATTCAACCTCACTCCTCAGGATGTCTGGTTCTAATTCATTCACCACACCGTCAAAACTATCCTCAATATTATTATCCTTCCTATACAGATCTTCTGTATAGTCTCGCCACCTTCTCTTGATCTCTTCAGCTTCTGTTAGGTCCCTGCCATCTTTGTTTCTTATCATACCAATTTTTGCCTGAAATTTACCTCCAATGTTTCTAATTTTCTGGAAGAGGTCTCTTGTCCTTCCTATTCTGTTGTCTTCTTCCACTTCCATGCATTGCTTATTTAAAAATAGTTCCTTATCTCTTCTGGCTAACCTCTGGAATTGCGCATTTAACTGGGCATATCTCCCCTTATCACTGTTTCCTTTTGCTTTCCTCCTTTCTTGGACTACTTCCAGTGTCTCAGCAGACAACCATTTTGCCTTCTTGGTTTTCTTTTTCTTTGGGACGTACTTTGTTGCCGCCTCCTGAACAATGTCTCGGACTTCTGTCCATAGTTCTTCTGGGACTCTGTTTACTAAATCTAGTCCTTCAAATCTGTTCTTCACTTCCACTGTATATTCGCTAGGAATGTTAGTGAGATCATATCTAACTGGTCTGTGTATTTTCCCTGATCTCTTTAGTTTTATTCTAATAATAATAATAAGATATTATAATTATATATTTTATATTAAATGGAATATTACTAATAATATTGCAGTATAATGTTATAGTACAATGTAATATATAATATTAATATTATGCTATGGTAATAATATAATACATTGTTTACTTGTAAACCGCTCTGAGTCCCCTTCAGGATGAGAAGAGTGGCATATAAATGTCGTAAATAAATAAATAAATAAATTATAATATACTATATTATATTATTATTATATTATATTAGTTACATGTTGGAGTGAATCAGGGAAGTCAAGTATTGTATCTTTACATTCATTTATACACTTGGTTCTCATCAAAGTGGTGGGCCTGCCATTTCACAGATAATCAAGGGGTTGTGATGATCATAACCCATTCTTCTTGTACCATTTTCCTAACGTAGAACATTGTGTAAAGATTGGCCACAGGTTGAATATCTTATCGAGAATTCCAAAATCCAAAATGTTCAAAAATCCAGTATTGTCCAAATGGGTGACACCTTGGCTTTCTGATAGTTCAGTTTGCACAAACATTATTTCATGCACAGCATTGTTAAAATATTGATATAAAATTACTTTCAGACTCATGTGTATAAGGTGTATATGAAACATAAATGAATTTCATGTTTAGACTTGGATCCCATCTCTAAAATATCTCAATATGTATATTCCAAAATCTGAAAAAAATCAGGACTAAGTATTTTGGTTCCAGGAATTTTGGAGAAAGAGCCCTCAATCTGCATTCAGGAAAAACATATAGCTTTCTGTTTATTTATTTATCTACGACGATTTATATGCTGCCCTTCTCACCCCAAAGGGGACTCGGAGAATTGGCCATCTGCAAGGACGTTGCCCAGGGGACGCCCAGATGATTTTTGATGTTTTATCATCCTTGTGGGAGGCTTCTCTCATGTCCCCGCATGAGGAGCTGGAGCTGACAGAGGGAGCTCAACCGCCTCTCCCCCGATTTGAACCTGCGACCTATTGGTCTTCAGTCCTGCCAGCACAGGACTTTAACCCACTGCACCACCGGGGGCTCCACCCTCGGAGTCTTAGTAGCTTTTACACTCAAGCCAATGTCTCATGATCTGTTAGCATCCAGTGCATGCTGTTATGACCATTTCTGCTGCAGATTTGTATCATGAGAATGGATAGAATCCTAGAGTTGGAAGAGACCTCATGGGCCATCCAGTCCAACCCCTGCCAAGAAGCAGGAAAATCGCATTCAAAGCACCCCTGACAGATGGATGTTGCACTTAAAGAAAAATAAACAAAGTTTATTTCATTTCATTCCAGATGGTCCCAGGATAAATGCTTCTTCCTGCCCTAATACATTAACCTGGAAAGAGGGTGACATGGAAACGTTGAACTGTTCAGCCTACGGAAACCCACCACCAAGTGTTGAATGCAAGAAAGATGGCACATCTTATAGTATTGGGATACCAATATCTGTCACCAGAGAACATGATGGCATGGTTCGCTGCAATGCCACTAATCCATATGATTTTGATGAGAAAGTTGTGACCATAGTTGTTGAATGTAAGTTAAATTCCTTACTCTAAACATGCTTATTTGAAAATATTTTGTCCTGTATTAGGTAGTCAATGAGGGAAAGTCTTTTAAGTTTGGGTTGCTGTGAGTTTTTTGGGCTGTATGGCCATGTTCGAACAGCATTCTCTCCATTTTTTTTTGCCTACATCTGTGGCTGGCATCTTCAGAGGTTCTATTGGCAGTGGCGCAAGTGGAGTGTGTGTGTGTGTCTGTGTATGTATCTGGAATGTCCAGGGTGGGAAAAAGAACACTTGTCTGTTTGAAGGAAGTGGGAATTAGAGTTACAAGAGTTACAAGCTGGATAGATGCGGGGAATGCCGTGGATGTAGTGTACCTGGATTTCAGTAAGGCCTTCAACAAGGTCCCCCATGACCTTCTGGCAAGGAAACTAGTCCAATGTGGGCTAGGCAAAACTACGGTGAGGTGGATCTGTAATTGGTTAAATGGACAAACCCAGAGGGTGATTCTCCCCAATGCTTCCTCTTCATCCTGGAAAGAAGTGACAAGTGGAGTGCCGCAGGCTTCTGTACTGGGCCCGGTCCTGTTCAACATCTTTATTAATGACTTAGATGAAGGGCTAGAAGACATGATCATCAAGTTTGCAGATGACACCAAATTGGGAAGGAGAGCCAATACTCCAGAGGACAGGAGCAGGATTCAAAACGATCTTGACAGATAGAGATGGGCCAAAACTAACAAAATGAAGTTCAACAGATACTCCACTTTGGCAGGAAAAACAAAATGTAAAGATACAGAATGGGGGACAATGCCTGGCTTGAGAGCAGTACGTGTGAAAAAGATCTTGGAGTCCTCGTGGACAACAAGTTAAACATGAGCCAACAATGTGATGTGGCGGCAAAAAAAGCCAATGGGATTTTGGCCTGCATCAATAGGAGCATAGTGTCTAGATCTAGGGAAATCATGCTACCCCTCTATTCCGCTTTGGTTAGACCACACCTGGAATATTGTGTCCAGTTCTGGGCACCACAATTCAAGAGAGATATTGACACACTGGAATGTGTCCAGAGGAGGGTGACTAAAATGATCAAGGGTCTGGAGAACAAGCTCTATGAGGAGTGGCTTAAGGAGCTGGGCATGTTTAGCCTGAAGAAGAGAAGGACAAGAGGAGATATGATAGCCATGTATAAATATGTGAAAGGACGCCACAGGGAGGAGGGAGCAAGCTTGTTTTCTGCTTCCCTGGAGACTAGGATGCGGAACAATGGCTTCAAACGACAAGAAAGGAGATTCCATCTGAACACGAGGAAGAACTTCCTGACTGTGAGAGCCGTTCAGCAGTGGAACTCTCTGCCCCGGAGTGTGGTGGAGGCTCCTTCTTTGGAAGCTTTTAAGCAGAGGCTGGGTAGCCATCTGTCAGGGGTGATTTGAATGCAATATTCCTGCTTCTTGGCAGGGGGTTGGACTGGATAGTCCATTAGGTCTCTTCCAACTCTATGATTCTATGAATGTTGCTTGAATAGCATTGAGTAGCCATGAAACTGCATAGAAGTAGCCTGGCCTCTGTTGCTTGGAGGCATCCTCTGTTTGGGAAGTGTTAACTGGCACTTGATTGTTTGCTGCCCAGAGTTCTCCTGTTTCTGAATGTTCTTCATTATTTACTGTTTTAAAATGCAAGGTTCAATGGACAGGTTATCAACTCATTTCAAGGGGACTAAATAGAAATCCCGACCAATGATTTTCAACTGTGGCCCAGTCCAGAAAGGTTGAGAATGTATCTAAGAGTGTCCATTCAATAATTGTGAACTAGAGTTGATTATTCTGTTTGAGTTTAGAGCATGTATATGCTCCAGCCTTGGCTTACCTATTTGACAATTTGCAACCCTATTTGGAATCACACCTCTTCAGCTTCAAAGGTAGACGTTGCTTTTCTAGAAGTTCCAAGACCCTCCAGTGGATATCCTGGAATTCATTTTACAGTGTCGCTCAGGCATGGGCAAACTTCGGCCCTCCAGGGGTTTTGGACTTCAACTCCCACAATTCCTAACAGTCTACCTAAAAAAATCAGAATTGTATAATTGCAACTCTGGGAAATTTCTAGATAACTAACATTGTTTTGGTTTTTTCTTTCTTTCAGTTTATCAACTCAACATCCTTGCAATAATCTTGTCAATTGCTGCTGTGGCAATTATTGCTGCTGTGTGTTCTGTAGTCTACTATCAGTACTACATAACCCACAAATGTGGGGAATACCGCCTTAAAAAACAACAGCCTCAGCGAGAAGCAGGAAACGCTGCAGAGGAAAAGCACCTGGACGGTGACACAGGTGTTTAAATGGACAGGCGGCTGCTAGGAACTCAAGAGAGACCAGTCCCATCAGCCACGTGAAGATATACCTATTCTCCACGGTCATTCCCCTCCACCGGATCTGGTTGGGGGGTGGGGGTGGGAGAAAAATGGGGAAAGCCTTCACCAGGTGCTGAAAAATTGATGGGCAGCGTTGCAACTGGACTTTTAGGGAGAGCAAGTTTTTGCACTTTCATACAGAGGTTTGTAGCATTCACTACAAAGGAGTTTGCACAGAGAGATGGACTCCAGGATTTATTTCAGGATGCCTCTTTATTCAAAGCTGTCCTCCAACCTCACAGCTCCAGAAGAAGTCAGACAACTGCAGACACCTTGGTTAAAACCAGATTGCATCCAGCAACTTGGTGGGAAGCAACCCAAAAAGCCTTGGCTGGGTGGAAGCTTTGAAAGCACCATAAATGCCATTCTTGGTCCTTCTTTGTTCCATCAGGAGCTTGGGGATTTTGAACAGTTGTGCAAACACATTGCTTTGTGAAAATACTGTTGTCGTTGTCGCTGCTGCCACTGTCCCTTGCCCTGCTCTGCACCTGATGTCCTGGGAGGCCTTTTGCAGCACATGTTTGAACTTGAAAAAAGGTCTTTTACAGCTTGTGTGATGGCAAAGCCCACATCAAAACAGCAGGAAATCCCGGGTGGTTTCCTGGTTTTGTTTCCTGGTACATACAGTCAGGATTCTGTTGTTGAAAGATTCTACATGCCATAACACTTAGGCTGACTCCTTTTTAAGAATGTGAAGCTGAATTCCTTTCCTAGCCAGAAGATTTGGAGGATAGGTTGGGAGTGATCCTGGACTCATCACTGAGCCTGGAACCCCAGGTCTTGGCGGTGGCCGGGAGAGCTTTTGCACAATTAAAACTTGTGCACCAGTTGCGCCCGTACCTTGGGAAGTCTGATCTGGCCACGGTGGTCCACGCTCTTGTTACATCCCGAATAGACTACTGCAACACTCTCTACGTGGGAGACTGTTCGGAAACTTCAATTAGTCCAGCGGGCGGCAGCCAGATTACTCACCGGAGCGTCATACAGGGAGCATACCACCCCTCTGTTATGTCAGCTCCACTGGCTGCCGATCCAGTTCCGAGCACAATTCAAAGTGCTGGTTTTGACCTACAAAACCCTATCCTGCTCCGGCCCAGCGTACCCGTCCGAATGCATCTCCTTCTACATCCCGCCTCGGAGTTTAAGATCTTCTGGGGAGGCCCTGCTCTTGGCCCCGCCTCTATCATAAGTGAGGTTGGTGGGGACAAGGAGCGGGGCCTTCTCGGTGGTGGCCCCTCACCTGTGGAATTCACTCCCCAGGGAAATTAGGTCATCGATACCCCTCCTCTCTTTTAGAAGGAAATTAAAAACATGGATTTGGGACCAGGCTTTTGGGTAATCTGGCAGATAGACAAGGGACAAGCGACGACTAGAATTGATGGATTTGACAATGTGGAATTGAATTTACGGACTCTGAGCTGGCAAACGTTGAGCACTAGATTGGTTTTTATGGATTATGATGTATAATGGATTTGTTTTAATTGTTTTAATTATTGTTTATATATGTTTTATTTTTATCCTATTGTTGTGTTGGCATCGAATTGTGCCTTTTGTAATCCGCCCTGAGTCCACCCTCAGGGGTTGAGAAGGGCGGGGTAGACGTGCGAGAAATAATAATAAATAATAGGTGTGGAATGGAACCATGCCACCGACTGTGATTGAAAGCAAGATCCCCCTTCTGAAGGTAAAACTAAAGGTTGTCTCCTGACATTAAGTCCAGTCACGATTGATTCTGGGGTGTGGTGCTCATCTCCATTTCTAAGCCGAAGAACCGGCGTTGTCCATAGACACCTCCCAGGTCATGTGACTGCATGGAGCGCCGTTACCTTCCCGCCAGAGCAATACCTATGGATCTACTCACATTTGCATGTTTTTGAACTGCTAGGTTCGCAGAAGCTAGGGAAGCTCATGCCGCTCCCCGGAATCAAACCTGCGACCTTTCAGTCAACAAGCTCAGCAGCTCAGCGCTTTAACCCACTGCGCCACCGGGGGCTTAGGAAGGGTATGCCTTTAAAAGACTACTTGGAGGTGCTAGATGTATGTGGGCACACTCGGAGTTTGACACCTCTGCTGGTATAAATCCAAAACAAGCCTTTGTCCGCACACAAAGCTAAAACGAAGTTTAACTTAAACTTGCTCTGCAATGTGAATGCAAAAAAACAAAAAACAAAAAAACTGTATTGTCTCAAAGATACATTTACTTGGTTCCCTGTATTCTGTTACACATGCATAAAAAACTATCCAGAAAAGAGGAAAGGCACTGGAAGTATTGAGATGCTTCTTTATCTCAAAGATACATTTATTTGGTTTCCTGTATTCTATTACACATGCATAAGAATTTATCCAGAAAGGAGGAAAGGCACTGGAAGTATTATTTGTTTTGGTTGTGTCAGGAGCGACTTGAGAAACTGCAAGTCGCTTCTGGTGTGAGAGAATTGGTTGTCTGCAAGGACGTTGCCCAGGGGACGCCCGGATGAATTGATGTTTTTATCCTTGTGGGAGGCTTCTCTCATGTCCCCGCATGTGGAGCTGGAGCTGATAGAGGGGGCTCATCTGTCTCGCCCCGGATTCGAACCTGCGACCTGTCAGTCTTTAGTCCTGCCGGCACAGGGGTTTAACCCACTGCGCCACCGGGGGCTCCTCACTG